GTGAGGGGCACCTGCGGGGGTGGACAGCTGCGAGTTGGGAGTAAGGGGTCATGCTGAGGAAATGGGATCATGTCGAGGAAATGGGGTCATCAATGGGGTCATGCTGTGGGAAAGTTTGGGAAGCACTGCCATTGGGTCCCTATACATGTACAGTGAGGCTGCTCTGATGCGCCATAGTTACAGTGCATCAGAGCAGGGTCAATCAATTGAGTCTGCTGGAGCATGGTAATTACTGTGCCTGCTGGAGCATCACATATATCAGTGTCCCTGCTCTGAAAAATGGTGCCTGGGGCGCTTTAACTAAAGCTCATTCAACAAGCTTTAGTTAATGCATCCCAGCTGCCATTTTTCAGCATGGGGATGCTGATGCACGTGACACTCTGGGCGGTTTAATTAGATCGGATCTTGGAGCCGCTCTAATTAAAATGTTCCCCTACCCAATCCCAGGGCATGTGTATAAATGCCCATAGAGAGCAGGTCACACTAATCACATTCAACAGGCTGAGAGAAGGGCAACAGAGTTGCTTAGGTACATAGGAATTTGGTGATGTTTGCCAGACATTTAAAGCTTGTAAAGAAACAGGAATAATTGGAAATGGGAAAGAAAGGCATTGCTCAGGTATAGGAGTAAAAAGGAAGGTGAAATATGTTTGATGTAGTGGTTCACCCTGACTTGTAAAAGAGTTGGTCCAGAAGGGGACAGAGCACAATGGGAATAGTATCTTATTCAGATGGGCTGTGCTAGTCTGTCCTCGTGGTGGGTTCCCATGGGCATTTGGCATGAGGGGTTGGGTCTTACTCTGGTCTCTCTCAGTGCTGGCTTGGTGTGAAAATGCCTTTGGGCCTAGTGGTTGTTTTCTCCTGGGGGAGAGGCTAAAAAAAGTTTCCCATCACTGTGTTTGCTCATTGTGGGCCAAGTGTTTTATAGGCATGCTTAGTGGGGACTGCATTCTGCTAACGTCATAGTTTGTTTTCCTAAGTATATACTTTTTCTAGCAGCAATTTAATGATAGACAATGTATGTGATGGTGATGAGGGTTGGAAGAGTTTGCTGGTATGCAAATAAGATGAAGGACTTTTTTTGCCATGCTGACTGGGTGAAAAAAAGCTCATCTTATATTCAAATATGTACATTATAAAAGACTTATACATTTTCATGCATAGAATCTAATTATTGGGTGGCAGTCTTAAATTTGAAGTTATGTTGGATTTGGGATTATAATCAGGGTTAGAATCATCAACTGAATGTAGCCCAGTGCCTAAGGTGGTTTCTTGGTATGTGAGAAATCCTGATTTAAATCCCTCCCCCACCGCAGACTTCCTATGTGACTTTGGATATGTCAAATTCATATTCACAGAGTGCATCTACATGAGACACTACTTCAGGGTGGTTACTGCTCATTTATTTAGTACTTGTATGAGCAATAGGGGTGTGCAAAAAGGGCCATATTCGATTCAGATTCGGCCCGAATCAGGGACAGTGATTCGATTCGTTGATTCAGATCACTGTCCTGTTTTGATTCAGTAATATCTGAATCTGAAGTTTCGATGCTGATTCAGAGAATCAGCAATTCGGCCATAGAAAGTTTTAAATATTTTTTCTTTATACGTTGAGGTACCAGGCGCAGCTTGTGAACGCTGAGATGGTGGGGCAGATGGAGTGTCCCACAGGAACACAGGTGGGCCCTACGCATGCTCGGTGGCAAACCTGGAAGCATGTGGGGCACCCCCTCCCCCGTGCAGCACCCCGGCTTGATGATCGGCTGCGGGGGGACCCTGGGTACTCCCCCAGACCCAGGAGGCATCGGTCGCTGAGCGGGGGGGTGGGGGTCCCCCACGCACTCTGCAGTGGACCCAGAAGTGGACCGGAAGTGCTTGTGGTCCATTTCTGGGTCTGCTGCCAAGTGTGCTGGGGATCCCCCGCCACGCTCCCGTGGGATGCTCCATCCGTCCCACCATCTCAGCATTCACGAGTCACCTGGTACCTTGAGGTATGTAGAAAAAACATTTAAAGCTGTGTCAATGTCCAAATCATCGAATCTTTCCAAATCTCTCTGAATTGATTCAGAGGGTTCCGATTTGATTCAGAGAAATTAAAGGGTCTCCTGATTCGATTCAGATTCAGAGATTTGGCCACCGAATCGGGCTGAATCTCCGCCAAATCAAATCAGTGACCAAAACTTTGTACAGCCCTAATAAGCAAGTACTAAATAAATGCAGTAACTGCAGTTACTATGCAGTAGCACCAACAAACGCCTTTTAAATAAGCTACTGTGCAGTAGCCTGATACTACTGCACAGTAGCGTCTCAGCACAGTTTTTGCCATGCAGTGCATTGTGCAGTAGTATCAGGCTGCTGCACACTCAGTGTCTCATGTAGATGCACCCACTGATTCAAAAAGGAATTCAGGAAAACCTATGTACATGAAAACCTAAATACCTATGTGCATGAAAAGTCCTGTGTCTCCCAAGTTTCTGCCCCACCCCAAGCGAGCTTTTATACCTCAGATATAGCTATTGAACATATCCCAAACAATTACTATTAGGAGGAGTCAACTTTTATAGCCTGATGGTTAGAACACTTGTCCAGGGAGACATGTATTATATGTCCTTCTCAGTCTGGGGGGCTATAAGCCTACATCTTCCTGTTCCTTAGAAAGTATTCCAAGGCTTTGAGTTGTGCTGAGAGTATCCTCTACCTCTCCTGTTGAAGATGAGCCCCTTTGCAGCCAAGACTGTAAGTCGTGGCACTAGAAGAAGAGGGGTGTGACCCTATAGCCCAGTGAGAGGAGCACTCCCTTGTGAGACAGGAAGCCCTGGAGTGTAGTCTAGTCTAGCCTATTCTTTTTCCCGTGACTAATGTTGCCTATGCATTTTAACCAGTAACTAGTAAAACAACATGGATAAACAGTCCTAAGAGCATGGGCCAACTTTACAAAAAGAGAGTTGGATTCTATGCCTATGCAAGGGAGTAAAACATTTTTTTTGTCATTGAGTGAGTTGCCTGGACCCTTGGTTCATAATTAAAGCAGGGGGTAGCACCACTTCCTTTTGGGCCAAGCAATCGGTGGACTACAGTAACTGAGCTAGCATGAAGAGCAAATAATTATTGCCAGTATAATCAAGAAATACATATTTACTCTGAGGTGGAAGGAGGAAAGAATTGCAATACAGAGGTAATTGCCTTAGAGTTACAGTCTCCCCCAGGTTATACTTCTAGAGTGATGCAACTTCTGCACCACCCTTTGCCTAGAGATGTGCCTAAAGTCAAAATCTAGCCCATAGGGTAATTATGATGCTTTGATTTTACACATTAGGTTTCATCTGAGTATTTTGCAATGTTTTACAAAAGTGGCTAAAGATGATTATCCCTTATTTTACAGGCAAAGATATTTTGAGACAAGTACCAGGCACTGGTCTTTCACTGTCACAGGTTAATTCCTATGAGGTGATGTCTCACCCCTCCAGCTTTTTTCTTCCTATTGTAGTTTTTTACTGATAGCTGAGTTTGTTGTAAAGAAATGACTGACTGAATTTGCCATGGACCACTATTTTAAGATAAGTTGAAGGTGGAATCAGAGAAGGATGCAAGGTTGTGAACCTGGGTGAGAGGAAAAGGATATTTTTAAGAAGACTGTTGGTTAGAATACCTCAGACACTAAGAAGAATCAACATGAGGAAGTCCATTGTACTACTGAAGTGATTTGTTTTTAGGG